GGCACCCCCTCGGTGTGCCACGCCAGCCTCTCTCCGCAGCCTTCAGCACACTCCTATGTGCACACACACGCTTGCACACACATGCACATGCACGGCCTTCTTTGCACACACACCGGGGGGGTCAAACCCCCCATGGACGCGTGTCCCAGGGTGGCAGTGGCCCTGCCATGTTGTGGCACCACCGGCAAGGCCTTTGTCTGCCAGGCGCCTCCTTGCCTGCCGCAGCCCCACACCACGGCCTGGCAGCGCCCCGTCACCCCCCGGCCCCAAATCTGTCCCCGTCACAGGGCACGTGCAGCCAGGAATCATGGTTGCCATTTCCCATGTGCCTACACACCGGCAGCGGGCATCTACAGGGGCAAGGACCCCTGGGCACGGGTGCGTTGTGTCCCCAGGAGCCGGATCCCATCATCCGGTGACCCGTTCCCGGCTGAGCCCCGGGATGTCCCCGTGTCCTGCACCCCCTCTGTCCCCACAAACCCACTCAGGGGGGGGTCAGGACCTGCCCGGCTGGAGGGGTGCGGGCAGGGGAATGGGCTGGTTGCCACAGGCGGGCACGTGCTGGCCACGCACCGCAGGCACGGCCCCGGCGTGGGGATGGCAGGGCTCCGGTGGCAGCGGTGGCCGGGGCTGTGCCCACACGCAGACAAAGGGCTGGCCGTGCCCGGGTCTGTGCCAGCGGCGGCGGCGCCCACTCCCCCGGTGCAGGTGCCGGGGCTGGCACGTGACAGAGGGGGCCTCCACCGGCGGCGAGTGTGTGTCCCCCCCCCCCTCCTCACGCTCCCGCTGCCGAACCCTCCGACTGTCACTCACGGCTGCGGCCGAGCAGATGGCACCTGGGCTGGAGCCGGCCCGCGGGGAGGCAGAGCCCACCCCAGCCGTGCCAACGCCGGTGCCGGTGCCGTGCGGGGGGCACCGGTGCCCGGGCAGCCTCCCGGCACACCGCAGCCCTTCCCCGCACCACCCGGTCACCTCCCTCTGTTGTTGCCATCTTCATTTTGCCGGTGGGTGCCGGGCCGGGCATCACCGTGCCCTGGGAGCCCACCCACTGACCGTGGCACCCCGCTGCTGCCCGTTCCTGCCAGCTCTGGGTAAGTCCCCACTCCCCAGGACAGGGGACCCCCAACCCTCCACCGGTGACACCCCCGGTGTCGGGGTGGCAAAGCCCTGGCACCGGGCTCAGCGCCCGTGGGGGATCCAGGGGGGCACCGGAGCTGCCCGAGATGGCACAGTGTGAGCGGCCGGGCTGGGGACAGGGCTGGGGGGACAAGGCAGAAGCCCCTGGCCCGGTGCATCCGTTAGAGCCTAATTAGCAGCCGGAGAGCGGCGAGGGTGGGCGCCGGTGTGAGGCTCATCAGCATGCAGAGCGCTTGGAGGGAGAAGAAAGTGGAGACATGAAACGGGGAGAGGAGATGAAAGGGGAGCGGGGAGATGAAAACCCAAACCGCTGCCTTGTGCCGGGGCCGGGGCGGTGCCGGGGGGGGGCCCTTGGCCGGCCTGTACCGGGACACGGCCCCCGGTGCATCCCGGTACCGTCCCCGTGCTGTCCCCTCTGCCACGGCTGGTGATGGCACAGGGCAGAGAGGGGCAGGGGCAGCCCCGTCCTGGTCCCCTTGGGTGCCTTTTTTGGGGGGGGTTGATCCAGGGGGGTGAGTGGGGCTCCCAGCATCATGGCACAGGGGGCTGTATGAGCAGGATGGGGAAAAGGGGGTGCCCTGGGCAGGCTGGTCCCCAGACCTCCCCAGCCCCCCCATCCTGGTCTCCTTGGGTGTCTTTTTTGGGGGGGGG